TACACACGCCAGGCTGGCCCTTGATCCCCGTCCCGGGCTGAGGCTGGGTACACACGCCAGGCTGGCCCTTGATCCCCGTCCCGGGCTGAGGCTGGATCTCGGGGCTAATCTCAGACCATTGCGAGGACTCTCAGGGCTGCATGGGAGTGGCACTATGGCGGTCTCCAGGCAGGACTGGGTGCTCCCTTGTCCTGGCCACCTGCCCCCTATGGATCCAGAAAACCAGGTCACATCTGAAGGCAAGTCGTGTCTCTGCTTTTAGCCTGACCTGCTCGTCACCATTTGCTGGTGAGAGTGACCGAGCCACACTCCTGAATGTACTGGAGGGGCGGGTGTCCTGGAGCAGCCCTGCGGCTGCCCACCTCAGCAAGGATGCCCAGGACTTCATCACGGCTGCCCTGCGGAGGGCCCCAGAGTGAGTGCACACCCCTTCCCCCTGCCCAGGGTTCTCTTAGGCCTGGGCCTGGGCAGCTGACCCCCTGGCCTGAGCCCTGGCCTTCCTCTCCTCCTAGGGCCCGGCCCAGTGCAGCCAAGTGCCTCGCCCACCCCTGGTTCCAGGTGAGTCCGAGGTGAGCCCGGGCAAGTCTGCACAGGGAGAGAAACTGAGGCCAGGACAGGCAGAGGCCTGCGTGGGCCACCGGGTGCACCAGGGTCTCCCCTCACCGCCCCTCTCACTTGGGCCCCCTCAGAAGTCCGTGCCCGCAGAGGAGGCCCACTTCATCAACACCAAGCAACTCAAGTTCCTGCTGGCTCGCAGCCGTTGGCAGGTGAGCTGGGCAGCGAGTGGGAGTGGTGGGGCGGGGAGGGGAGAGTTGAGGTGGGGGGAGTTGGGGAGAAGAGGAGGCGGGCACTGGAGGCCCGCAAAAGAAGCCAGGTCCCGAGGGCTGGCTGTGCGTCCCCGCCCGCCCGGCCTGGGAGAACTGGAAGCCCCGCTCGGCGCTGGCCCTTCGTTGGGGTCCGCGCTCTCTGAGCCGCCGGGCGGGCGGAGGTGCGTGCAACTCCAGCGAGGGCAGGGACAGAACGACAGAGCCCTAGGGCTTGAGGAGTGGAGCTTGTGACGCTCCCAGCTCCTGGGTGCCCCGACTGGGCCCGTAGGAGCCGGGGCGGCGCGCGCCCACGGCTGACGCGCCCCTGTCCTCCGCACCCCCCAGCAATCCCTGATGAGCTACAAGTCCATCCTGGTGATGCGCTCCATCCCCGAGCTGCTCCAGGGCCCTCCCGACAGCCCATCCCTCGGGGTGGCCCGGTACCTGCGGGGCGACGCCAGCAGCTCGTCGTCCTCGTCCTCTGACAACGAGCGGGCGCCTTTCGCCCGAGCCAGATCGCTGCCGCCCTCCCCGGTGGCCCACTCCCCGCTGCTGCACCCTCGGGGCTTCCTGCGACCGTCCGCCAGCCTGCCCGAGGAGGCCGCGCCTCCG